CCAGGTTTTGATGCATTGTAGTAGAACTTTTCTAGTTACATATGCAAATGACAAATTTTAGGAAAGTGTCATAGTTTGCAAATGGGGGGCGCTGCCCCCAAATGGGGGAACTTAGACCACCTAATGTCAGCCCTGACAGGGTAACTTAGACCGGCTTGGAAGTTAATATAAAATTACCATATATAACATAATTTATGTTTGACAACCTATTAATGTTTTTTCTTTATGTTTCAGACTCTACAGAGTCTTATATATGGTAATTTTAACTTAACTTCCAAGCCAGTCAATATTACCCCATCAGGGCTGCCATTTGGTAGTCACATTTCCCCCATTATGGGGTGGCGCCTCCCTTTTGCTGTTTTGCAAACTATGACACTTTCCTCAAGTTTGTCATTTGTATATTTAACTAGAAGAGTTCTACTACAATGTCCCAAAACCTGGAGTTATTTGGAGTTATTTTACCAAAAAATATAATTGATTTTACCACCCAGTCTAAGATACCCCAAGAGCTGGGGTAACAAAGACCATCAATTTTTTTAAATTACATAAAAACTATGAGAGGCAGGAGCCAGCAATTTATGGTGAGTGAAGCTAGAGTATAGACCTGTATTTTGCATTTTTCCATTCAAGTTTAATTTAGCTAGTAAAAAAATGGCATCATTTAAAAAAAATGGTCTAAGTTACCCCATTTTATGGCAGAGAGTTTTCCATCAACATGGTTCAAATTGGAATTTTGGAAACTTATTGTATTGCAATGGTAAAAGGTCGAATGAATAGGGTAGTAAAGTAAGTAAACTGTCTATAACAGGTAAATTTCTGTAGTACCTACATGAATCAATCTTGAGAAATTATATTTTGACGAGTTTAATGAGATTATAAGAATGAAACTATTGCTGACATTCCTGACATTGGTCTAGTTTAGTTTTCTCTCGTGCATTACTTCATCAAATTTATTTCTCTCCAATCACCAATGTGGTTTAGTTTTGATTATAAAGTACATCATTTCTACGAATACGAAGCTTAGCTACCTAGGCAGTAACTCAATATGGTGGTATGGAAAGTGGTGAAGCCAAAGTGCTGTGGCAATTCTATCAGTATTGACAATACTAATAGTAATAACTGGTCTGGTGAGTACCTCGGTAACTGAGTGGTTACTGGATTTCAATGATTTACTGATTTATAACAAAAAATAATTTCTAAAAAATATAGCCAAAATTTCTATAACACTATTAACAGGCCTGTCAGGCCATGCTCATATATGCTTATAATAAACTATACTATTGAGTATGGTAGGTATTGACTAATTGAGCCCATATTATTTCTTCAGCATTAGAATTTAAAAAAGTTTCAAACAACTTATGGTAAATATTTTACTTTAATTCGAAACTATTAAGAAACTGAAACTTGAAACCATAGTGGCAAACCAGAGCTTTTTTAGAATCAGTTCATTTTTAATTTCCTCATTTACTCAAGATTCAAACCAATTTCTTATGCATGATAATGCTGGTATCCAGGATACTTTATTGGTCTACTTATAGGACTCAAAAATAAACTTGAGGGAGAGTTTAAAAAACTCTCTGCTTTGCCACTATGCTTGAAACACAAAACATATATATATATATTTCTTTGAGATTATTAGGTGTAAAGCTGTACTTGTTGCATAGTTAATACAGTAAATATGACGATATAGCTACATATGATGCCAAATTAAAAAAAAAATTGGTGAATCCTATTCCATCAGCAAAATCATGAAAATGCCATGACCTCTCTACGGTAGTTGTGTACTTGTGTACAAGCTACTAGGCCTAAAATAGCTCCTTTTTCAAATCACCTTTCAGTTTCAGACTTCCACTTTTGAGTTTCAGGTATTATATAGTTGTGAGTTGAAAACTTGAGACTTGGCTGCTTGGCAGTTGATTTAGACTTGATAGTTGATAATGAACTTTGGAATTTTAATAAAATGGACTCCAGGGGCGAGAATATAATCCAGGTTTAATTTATTTATAGCATTAGAATCTCACTTCTTAGCAAATTTTATCAGCAGAATCTAAATCTCACTTCACTCGTTCTTGACAAGTTGACAATTCAGTCGGCGCATTTTTCGGGACCGGCTCCATAGCTAGGTACTTTGCATAATTAATAAATTGACAGGGCGTGTTTCCTTCATGAAGAGCGTGGAACGTCTTTAGTCTTCATTTATGATGAATTAATTTACAATGAAGAGCTCTAAATAGCAGAGTAGAAAAAGTAAATCCGGAGTTCCAAGTAACTACAGAAAATTTACTACCGGTAGGTAATATTTCACACTTCTGCAGGGCCCAGACCAAACTGTCACATAAAACATGCGAGTTCGTTGCCATGGCAACAAGAGTCAACAAATGGCATCAACAGGCTACGCAAAGGAAACAACCAATGTTCATATTTTGATGTTCAATACAAATATTTTAGAAACTACAAGAATCGATTATATTCAACGTAATCTTCAAACATTTCATTAATAAGTCATGTGATGAACCGAAATAGGTATGAGAAAGAGTGTGAGTCAATAGCAACATCCAACAATTTAATAGCCATTAGCATACCAAAAAATGAATAGCTATCAGCATTAGCTTACCATCAGAAAACAGGACATGAGTAATATTTAGCATTATGGGCATTTATGGCACATGATTTTGCATAGGATTCAAGCCCTATTTTTGCTCATTAACGATGAATGGCCAAAGGACCGACAATAGCATCATCAATTGTGATGAACTTAAATAGTTAATCTTGAAATCGGTAACATTTGTTTTGAAGACTACCTTTGAGGCAGGCCTTATTAAAGACAATCCATGTACGCCATCATATATTTGCTACTGCCTATGGGTTAAGGTTGAGTATACTATGCATCATAGATACCATACTTTTTGATTTCATTCAAAGTTCTCGTGCTGCGCAATCCTAGTATATCTGGTTTTACCACACACAGAATAAAACACAAGAACTTGCAAATTCGATATACTGTTTCATTTCATACATACAATATGAAGCTCTTATAGTTGTGCTACAATATAATTCCCCGTAAGCTACTTTACATGTGCTGAATGATCAGCAGTTCTATTTATTTTAACTGTTCTCGATTGATTCCATACTGACATCGCTCAACTGAAGGTAATGTTTTCAAAATGTCTCGACATTCAAACGAAGAAATAAGAACTTCTAATATGTCCAATGTTGACCTTATTTTATCGCTGTGTATGCTGATTCTGCCGATAGTCCTAAATGAAACTAAGATATCATGTGGAAAAACAGCAATGGTCTCTGAACTCGGCAATAATCCATGGCAACTAAAAACAGAATTTCACCAAAAGTCTTCAGCGGTAAATCATAGTCATACATTTCAGTAGAAAAGAAAGCAATGAACGTAAAAAAACATTCTTTCACACAAACCAATACACTGTTGATTCTTAAAATAGGTACACCTACTCATGAATACAAAAAAAAAAAAAACGAATACATTCCGTACATTGTAAAGAAATAGTTTCCACAGAGAAAGTTGAGGATAGTATTACGGTAAAGGACACTTCTAGGAGAACATAAACGGAGTTACTGAAAGCCTGGAATACATTCAAATTATTTCAATAATCACGGCAACATAACTCAAAATACACACAAATAATCCAAGTTCCTCTCGCAGAGCAAGATGAGAAACAAGCACGATATTAATTAGCGGTTAACACAAATGTTGTGACAGAGTATTTCGTACAAGCTTATACCACACGAATTACTAACAAAACTCCTTGGATATTAGGCTTCAGAAATGAAATATACTATCAGGCTGAGGCAACAAAAACAACAAAAAAATACCACGAAGCTAGAAATGCAAATCCTGAAGCATATGATAGCGTTTTAATTCGCCATCCAACTGTCACCCTAAATTTACAGCAGGTATGTAAATTCTATGAGCATCGCATCAATTGGTTCATAGAAAGCAGATAATTAAACAGTAATCACTTAAAGATGGCAATCACATCCTACATTACATATATGAAGCCATTACCGGCACGAGAAAATTCAGTGATGAGATATTTTGGCGTTTACTGAATGAGAACATAAACATGAGTAAGCAATTAATGTAAATAACCAAATCAAGTCCATTATATCAGGATACCATAATGTGGATTCATCAGAATATAAGGAACAAATCAGTAGTATGTACGATTGGTATAACATTAAATTGAAATCTTCAAGTATATATGGCATTGATCCATTATGCACCGTAATCGTCATCCGTGACCAGTCACATTTAAATAAACTCTAAAGCAAAAAACGCAGCAGTATTGTGAGATATGGCTTTATTTCTTTCGTCAATGGCTGCATGCTTTCCTAATTCATAGTAAATGGTACAAAATTTTCGAAACATCAACAAGACATGTTCCTTAAGATTAGATGGTATGGTCAAAATATATATGCAGAACCTTAACTTGAAACTATGACCTAACCTGCCTAAGGTCAATTAACTTATGCTTGAAAAAACGAGCTATAACTAAAATCTGATAAGTCGGTTAGCAGCGTTAGAGATGTGAAGACTTAAGATTTGACTGTTACTCTATCCATGACACAGTAACTGCAGGGAATAAAAAGTGAACTGTAGTGAATAGATAACAGTAATATTAAAAGGGTACAATAAATTTCACCGTGAGAAAGAAATACATCAGAAAATGAATAAATTAATAATCAACTGTGGGTACAAAAATTTGTGCGAATGCTTGGAGTCATAAAATAATAGAGTGAACATCAGAGATAATTCAAGAATACATGGACATACATGCGGCGAGCGGAATACTCATGCTAAAATGAGCATAAGCGAGCATGAGTACCAAATGCTCTTGCTTAGCAAATTATAATGATGCCGATTTCGTCTCAACGCTCCAAAGGTATTGACGGATTATATCTATGACGCAACGACAGTAAAAAAAATTCTACAATAGAGTACGTTCAGGCTTACTAATACCCAAATTTTAGAGTGCGCACTTGAGCTCATTTTCTATCACCTCGCGCTCCGCCTTGATGGCCTCCACCTCCTCCATGAGCTTACGCAGCGTCACCACAGGGGGGGAGTCGCCTGATGCACCTCCTGACGAGGGCGAGGGCAGCGAGCTGGCTAGAGACTCTGGGCCGCGTGACAGCATTTCCATGCCTTCCCTGTTTGTTGACACATTTTAGTTTAATACTAACGTTCAATCTTCTCATATTGGAGAAATTTTAAAAATGTATGCTAAACTTGAAATCAAAAAATCAACAAGTAGTTATAGAAAATATGATATAATGACAGCACATACATGAGCAGCTGTTGCTAGCAAACATAGCAACTCTACGAACGTTCTTCAAAAATATATATTCAAAATTAACCCCAACTGAAGAAAATTAATGAAGCCTCAATTATGAGACTGACAATAAAATACCTGGTAACATCAACTTTGGCCTTTCATTTATTTCACCAACTAAGCGTCAGCACAATATTGAAGGCTCAGGACGAAATTCTTTACAACTAATTCCGAATTCTGTAGTGATTCTGAAAACTCTAAATGAGGCATTTTAAATCCCACTCTATAGAAAGCATGTGCTAACCTGTTAGCATCCAGCTTTCCCCGCACAGTAGAGTCAGCAGCAACGGCCGTCTCTATAACCTTGCGGTACTTGGCAGCGTTTGCCTGGAACGTTGCTGTCAGAGTTGCTGATGGAGTTCGAGTCCATTTCTCCTTAAACTGTTCTCTGAGTTGCGAGTCTGAGTCAGCTTCTTCCTTGAGTTGTCGCTCACATTCGTCAAGCAGCTCGGTGTTACGCTGCAGAAGCTCGGGAAGCTCTTTCATGATGCGTTCCAAAGACTGAGAAAATAACTTGAGTAAAGTGCCCAGGAAAAATCCTTCACAATATAAATATTCTCAAGTGACTCCAAGCTGCTTATATCAACAATGTTTTTAGAAGTTCCAAACATGTTCAAGCATGATCAAAAGAAGCTAACCTTTCGTAACACTAAGGCAATATTACGAGTTTACTTGCATCTATGAAATCTCATTCGTTTTTAAATTTGAAATTTTTATGGAAGTGATTTAAACATCTCGGAAAAGAATTTTGCATGACATTTACAGCAGCTACTGCAGCAGGAAATCACGATTGAAGTTTCACAGTTCTTTGTCTTGCGGAACTGAAGTGAAGTTGCGGTACTTTGACAATAGCAGAATGGTAAGTATTTAATATCGATGGGTGAAGCAAGAACGTTGCCAAAATGCACAGACTGCATTTATTTTTCAGCACTTGGACAGGGTCGAGAGGAAAAAGACATTTATGTCACAAGTAACTGCAATAATAGACCGCGCAGCAAGTTTCATGAACTTACCTCGAGCCCTCCTTTCTCGACGACGGCTGCACTCTTCTCTCTAAGGCTGGGCGGCAGCTGCTCTCCAGCCGCCGTCTCTTCGACAGCGGCCGGGAGGTTGAGGCTCGCCAAGACACTGTTCAAGAGCTGCGTTGCCTCCTTCAGTTTGCTGACTTCCTTGTTGACAATGTCCTGTCGCCGCACGTCGCACTGGGAGAGCGCTTGTTGCACCTGAATACAACCCATCCAAAATACTAAGCCAAAGAAATGCGAATGCAATCTTATTGCAATGTGAGCGCTCAACTCTCATACAAATACACAGTGTTAGTACAGCATCTTTGAAGGGATATGGATACAATTCATTTATACACCTGACAATTAGCTAGTTGTGCATTATTTGATCTTAGCTTCATGATTATTTTGTGAATGCTTTTCAACATGTTAATATGCATGACTCATGTCCATATACACGACTTATGTCCTAGGCTCCAACCAATTCAAGCAATTTAACTTCAGAAACAGTCGGAAATAGGGTTGATTGAACAAACAAAACAGAAAGAAGATGGGAGACAGAAGCAAAAGAGGATAATACAAAAGTGAATGCCGTCAGTAAAAACAAATTGAAATTAATTAAACTTTAAGCATTTTACATAGTTCTGGGCTGCTAATAAAATACGACTCAATGACACTTGAAACCCCAAATATCTCTATCCTTGCAATTGCAATGCCATTCCTAGGAAAATTGTGCGATCAATGGAGCAGTAAACATGACAGGCAGCGGGAGAGCTCATAAAGTTTGTAGATTGTAGCCCCAGGCACCGTACCTGCACTGGCACGAGGCTCTCGAAAAGGTCTGTGAAGTTGGTGGAGAAGCGCTCAGGCACCGGCAAAACCTTCGCCACTGCAGCCTTTCCAATGGCCGACAAGTTTCTAACCTGCCAAGGAAAAAAGATTTAATAAATTATAAAGCATTTATTTCAAAAATTTGCCGGAACACATTAGCTCTGTAAACGAATTTTTCACCTAGAAATTCCTGCATATTCTATCTTGAGAAACTTCAGAAACTTCCAAGGTTGATTGATTAATAAAATACTTAAAAATACTTTAAAAAAAAAACACGTTTTTCTTGTAGACTAAAAAGTAGAAAATAAATTTTGGCTCGCCCCAAAAAACGTGGGTCGGGGCTGTACGTTCAACATCAAATTTCCAAAATTAGTGTGTTGTGTGCTTTTCACTTTAATCATAAATCTGCCCGACACACGTTTTTTGGGGCGAGCCAAAATTTATTTTCTACTTTTTAGTCTACAAGAAAAACGTGTTTTTTTTAAAAAGTATTTTTAAGTATTTTATTTTCTCCTTTTTAGTCCGTTGCTGCACGGACTAAAAAGCATGACTTGACTTTTACGTATCCGTGCTACGCAGCGTCAGCGCCCGCACGTCATACTATATATATACTATATATATATACTTCACTCGATTAAGCTAATTTAGGTCTATAATTGCTAGTTTTTATGATTGTATCTGAAATTGTTAGGCGAAAATAGCCTGCATGCCGAATTTCAGATCTCTAGAGCAATCAGAAGTGGGCTAATTTTCGTTGTCAATTTTAACAACAAACAAACAAACGCGAAGCTAAGCTAAGATAAAATACTTAAAAAAAACTTTTTAAAAAACCACGTTTTTCTTGTGGACTAAAGAGTAGAAAATAAATTATGGCTCGCCCCAAAAAAACGTGTGTCGGGCAGATTTATGATTAAAGCGAAAAACGCACAACACACGAATTATGGAAATTTGATGGTGAACGTACAGCCCGACCCACGTTTTTTGGGCGAGCCAAAATTTATTTTCTACTTTTTAGTCCACAAGAAAAACGTGGTTTTTTAAAAAGTTTTTTTTAAAGTATTTTATTTTCTCCTTTTTAGTCCGTTGTTACACATGAAAAACGTTGTTGCGAGCCAATTAACTCGACTTGACGTACGTATCGATGATACGCAGCGTTAGCGTCTGCTCGTCTATATCGTGAGCGCCCGCACGTCATACTATATATATACTATATATATACTTTACTGAATTAAACTAATTTCGGTCTCTAATTACTAGTTTTTATGATTGTATCTGAAATTGTTAGGCGAAAATAGCCTGCATGCCGAATTTCAGATCTCTAGAACAACCAGAAGTGGGCTAATTTTCATTGTCAATGTTAACAACAAACAAACAAACAAACAAACAAACAAATAAATAAACAAACAAACAAACAAACGCGAAGCTAAGCTAAAAATAAAAAAATACTTAAAAAAAAAACTTTTTAAAAAACCACATTTTTCTTGTAGACTAAAAAGTAGAAAATAAATTATGGCTCGCCCCAAAATCCGCACGTCATACTATATATATACTATTTATATATACTTTACTCAATTAAGCTAATTTAGGTCTCTAATTGCTAGTTTTATGATCGTATCTGAAATTGTTAGGCGAAAATAGCCTACATGCCGAATTTCAGATCTCTAGAGCAATCAGAAGTGGGCTAATTTTCGTTGTCAATGTTAACAACAAACAAACAAACAAACAAATAAACAAACAAACAAACAAACGCGAAGCTAAGCTAAGAAAAACGTGTTAAAAAACGTTTTAAAAAAGGAGCAGTAAAACTCTGCTTCAACAAGCCAATTAGGTTCAAATGCTGGATGTTAGGCACAAGCATAAGATACAATGGCATGATGAAAGAAATTTTCATCGAAGGACAAGACCTACATTTTAGACAAACAGAAAATCTCCTGGGCAAGTTTTAGGAGTATTTAAATAAATTGCAAGTATCAAAAAGCTACACATAGTTTTCTTTGATTTTTGTTTTAACGCCTTGTCAACGCAGGACCCTCCACTTGAATTATATCCATAAAAAACATGTAGGGTACAACAAGATCATGTAACAACTTTAATGTAGAGTGTCATGTAAATAATGACATAAAGAAACAAAGTCCAAATTTGTGATACATATTCAAGCTAGTTGTCAATGAGCAGATTTTTTAGATTTTATCATCTATTTGCCAGCTCCAATGATATTGTAGATGAACTTTGAAAATGAGACCAAATCCAATCATATGATTTGATTAAAAAAACATAAATGCTAAAAATAGTATGCCTTCTAATACTAAAATGTCAACAAATTAATAATTACCTACCTGAAATTCTCCACCAAAGACATCAAATTTCAGCAAAGCCAATTGCAATTCTGATGAAAGACTTGTTTTTTCCACATCACAGCATGACATTATTTTCAAGAAGGTCTCAAATTTTTCTTTTAATGCTGTCTCACTGGTGTTTTCTACATGCTCCATACAAGCTGATAAATTCTGTTCTTGATCAAGGAGATGTTTCTTCCGTGACAATAGTTTTGCTTCAATCTCTTTCATTGACTCAATCAATTCCAGTCCTTCATTGCATAAACTAACTGAATCTTTCAGGTCTTTTTTCAACTTATTTCCAAGGTTTCCATTGAAGGCTTCCTTTATTTGTTCCATGCTGATTTCTTGACCAACAACATTTTCAAAGGCAACCTGTCCATGAGCATAATGCATCTCAGAAATGCACTTCTTGCAGGTGGCAACTTGACACTTGCAGCACCAGTGTTCTATGGTGCATGAGTGCAACAAGCACGTGTTATAGTCAACTTTGTTGCCAGTAGCATCACCAGTTGATTTAGGTATTGCACCAGGTATCAGCATGTAGGAAATTGGTAGTTCATTCGATTCGCCCTGCCACTCTTCTCTGCATGATGGGCAAAGTTTCTTGCCCGAAGCCTCAATGTTTTTAAGGCAGGCTAGGCAATAAGTATGGCCACACTGCAAGAGTAGAGGCTTGTGATTGGTACTATTGAATGTGTTCTCACACACATTGCAGAGAGCTTGTACATTCATTCTGCTCAGCCCTTCTGAAAAATAATTATTGAATTAATAAAGAGGAGAGCAAAGTGGAGGGAGTAAATTCGGGTTTCTCAGGGATATATATATATATATAGGTATATATATTCTATTAGAACCAGAGAGCAATGCTTTTAAAGTTCTAATTGTAACCAGGGTTGATGATTTTCTTTATTTTTTCAAGATTTTTTTCTATTTTTCAGCATTTTTGTCTCTTTGAAATGTTATTTTTGATGTTGCAATTATCCCACTATTAATAACAGTATATTGATAGCTAAAAAGGGCAGTTATATCTTTCAAGAATGGCCAAGGTGGTGTTTACCACTTAGGGACTTTGAGTAAACAATTATTAAATATTAATAGGTCTATTCATTAGCTTTGTAAAGTTTGTATGGAGCAAAGTAACGAGCTGAATATTGACCATTTAACTGGCTTCAATATACAACAACACTTCAGGAATGCGATCTGCTAGACATTGAACAGTCACATAACAGATAGGTAGCTAATATCACAGTGCACGACACTATCAATAGATCTACCGGTACTAGTTTTATGTCTATAAATCTACCAGACTCTACCCTGTTAACACATCAACTAGTACCTAGTGACTGACTGCACTGTTATCATTTAATTCAGACCAATTACCCAATACTAAACATAAACTGAATGACAATAAAACAAACCTCAAATGACTTGAAACGACCTAAACTTATGAGAAAAGCTAACACTTTGAAATAAACATGTACACCATTCAAACATTTTATTTCCATTCACTGCATTTCATTATTTTATATATAGGTAGTTTTATAACCGTGATTGTTTTGTTTCTAGTTAAAAATTCACATATTTAAAGATTGAAATTTAATATTCTAATTAGAATATGTACTCATATTACATTGAAAATTTTTTCTAAATGCCCAGGGTTGGCAATGATTAAATTAAACTGATTAAATCACTCAATTTTTTATAAAAAATCATGATTTTATTTTCTATATATTTAAATATATTGAATGACAGTCTTCTATTCATTTTGAGATATTGCTATTCATGGATTAGTATAAATGTACTATGAAAATTTTAAATATAAACCTGTTGCGTTTAGTCTTAGTGTGTATTATGTTCCAATGAATTGTATGTTTTTGGTACAGAGGCATCAAGTGTTATAATACCTTGTACATATAACATAGCTAGCAGCTTAGCTAATTCTTATAAGGCTTACAAGTAGTCTTTAACTATTTCACTACTATTTGTTATATATTAATCACATTATACAATTTACATGTGTAAGCTAGCATACCCTATGTAAGAAGGGTTGGTTGAGATTGTATTGACCTTTAGGCATTTAGAAAGATTTTCCACTCCTGAAAAAAATACAAAGAAATCATGATAAAAAAATCATTTATTTTCAATTTTTTCAAAAAAAAAAATCACCAACCTTGTTAAAATGCCTAAAAGGTCAATACAATCTAAACTAACCCTTCTTATAAAAGCTAGCTAACACATGTAAATTGTATAATGTGATTATAAGATTCAATCATTGCCACTCCTGAATTTGTAACACCAAGTTATGAAAAAAAACTGTAATTACCAATTTCCAGCAGATAAGAGCTGGAAGTGTCATATAGTAGATGACCATGTTATGAGCACAATACAAATATGAAACTATGGTCTTCAAAAATCTTAAAATCTAAAGGAGCAGGACTGGAGGGTGAAGTTATTATTTTGGAGAGAAAACATCTACCAGTACTACCTACAGTGCTATGTTTCTAATGATGTCCTAAGAGACCAAATTGATTTTGCAATTATCAGTAACATGTCAACTTCTTATGCAAAATGAGAATGACACTAAACATTAATCAATACATATATTTAACATTTGAATTTAACAAAATATTTCAAAGCTAACATGGGAACAGATAAAGCCAATAATTAAATCAGGAAAAAAAGAGGCTAAGGATTGACATTGGGACTACCGTAAGGATTAATACTGGAATCTAGCATTAGGGATTAACATTGGAATCTACTGAAAACATTTATTACAGTTATCCCTCTGTTCTTCAACTGCATCATTAGTACCTACTTGAATAAAGTACTACATTCTTTCTAACGAGATTGAAACAGCTATTTATGTACTTTTATGTGAACCATAATAATAATGTGGCAATTGAAACGTAGAAAATCTAGCTCTGATCACTATTATCTGATTTCAGTATTTTACCACATTTTTCTTGACTTCGTTTCGTGTCTGTCTGTCGTCAAAAATTCAGACCTTAATTTAGGGCTCTTCTAAACATCCTAGAAACTTTAAATTTGGCATGCATGCTTATGCTGCCTAACAATTCAAGATTCGATCATCAGAAATAAAAAAAAATTGTTAGAAAAAATTTAAAGAAAAATATAAAAAACATGAAAAATTCACGGTTTGGAATTGAGTTTTTTCTCAAACATCCATACTTGCCAACCCTGGAAATTGATTTCAATTGCTAAAATTGCTAACCAAAAAGTAGAAGATAAATATATACAAAATATTTTTAAAAACCATGTTTTTCTGGTTTTTACAAAACTAAAAATAATGAAATAAAACAAATGAAAAAAAAAAAACATGTTTTCTTAACGGACAAAATAGAAAAACATTTACTCTTACATAACATTACTTAACATTTCACATAACTTAAATGTTATGTAGGAGTAAATATTTTTCTTTTTTGTCCGTTAAGAAAACATGTTTTTTTTTATTTTTTTATTTGTTCTATTTACAAGTGCTTATGTTTTATGAGCAATGGCCAATGAGTTCAGAGCAGTATCTGCTGAGTTATAAGATGATAAAGTACAAACTAGATTTTCTATTTATGGAAGTTTAGGCAGCAATAATGTTGGGCATGGACTATAAAATCCTTGATAATTTGCATTGGTTTGATGCTTGCAAGGCTTTAGGGTTAAACAGGTATGTGCACAAATCATGCACAAACATCAACAACTGTAGCACAATGGTAGACAGCCATCTTTCACTTTGGTGCAAGAGAATTATTTAATTTTAAAAATCCTGCCTAAGTGGTGGTAGCTTAGGCAGGAGCATTTTTAAGGTCTACTTGCTTGTCTGGAATTCAAAAACGGTAACACTTTGTGCTAAAAATAAACCAAGATAATGTATTGTGACGTTAATAGAATATAATACAATGTCAAATTTACAGTTCTTAGAGCATGTTCTCCAAATTTCATAGCTCTACAATATGTCCACACTCCACAGTGATTTCTATTTTCTAGGCATCACAAAAGTACCATAGTTTACATTCAGTCATCCCATTAGGGCATTAGCCGGTGGTCTTTTGCATACTAGTGCATTCCCGTTTGGTTCAAATTTCAATGTTTCTTTTTTGTTTCATTTACCTATAATTTTCACATCATTTACCTATCATATAATAAATGCATCAATGAACCAACCTGCATCATGCATTCACTCATCAACCTCATTAATTCATCATTCATGATTTATTGTTTGATTTGTCATCTATTTCTTATATTCATAACTTACTTGTCAAACTACAATTTATTCTGTTCAATTCTGCCTTTAGATGAATTTGTACTATTCATATCTATCAGTCACACGACTCACAGACTAAATTAATCAGGGTGGAATTCTAGGAATGAAAGTTCACTTATAAAAAAAAGATTTCCACCCAACTGACCCAAGGTGGAAAGCTTTTGTTGGATACAGTTTTCTGCCATGTTACGGGCTATAAAGAAAAAGGAGGATCAAAAGTGGACTGTTGGACAAACTGTTTCAATAGTATGGTACCTCAAATTTGTTATAGAATTGTTTGGATGTTGCTTGTTTGATTGATATTTTCATTTTTCTGTTATTTGATGGAGTTTTTGAAAATTTTCTAGGCCCTTTGTTTGTAATGATCAAGTTTATGTATTAAGTTAGTTAACCAGTATACTGTAGGCTTAGTCCATATACCATATTTAGGGGCAAGGCTTATGGCACAATGCACGCCACAAGACCAAGAGCACAACCAATCACAGCTGAACTGCTGAAAAGGATCCCATCAAGCCCATCAACTATTCACAGCTAGAAAGGGGATAACATTACAATTCCATCATCCAATCACAGCAGGAAAGCTTAAAGGGTATAAAATCACAATCCCATCAGGTCATCAACCAATCACAGCTGGAAAGGAATCAAAGGATGACAATGACATCATTCATCACAATCATCCAGTTTATCCCATCAACCAATCACAGCAGGAATTTGCCAGGAAAGGGATAGGATATGTATATAAGGGACTGAAAGTGTAAAGTTCCTGGCCTTTTCAAGCTTTCAGGTCCTGCTTTTCAATATGCTATGATTACTGGTTAATTAATTATTTAATTTCATAGTTTTTTCACATTTCATTGTATTCCAGTAATAATTCCACTTATATTCATTTTGAATTTTCTAATTTTTTTCTCTATTCACCTGTAAATTTTTTATTAGGATCAGATCATCAAATGGCAAACAAAATTTTTGTGCACATTCCTTACACCTACATTACTCATTAGGGATTAGGCCAAACTTTAGGCTAAATTAGGTTCTTGCAAGTTGCAGCTCACGTGCCACCGTGTCAGACACGCTCTGCCAGTGCCAGATTATTAACAGATCAAATAACATTTCAGCAATCTTTTCCACATATCAAATGGACAAAATAAATTAAGTACCTATATTTTGACAAATGCAAGCCCTGGCGAGTTGGCCATGGCTATGTTAAATTTAGGTAGGTACTACCGGTAGCCGCGGTAGGTACTAGCCTACTAGGTAGGTAGTCCTCTTAAATTAGAGTAACAATAAAACTTCAAGCAGTGATCCAATTATAGCGCAACAATTTTATTGTAGGATGAAATATTTTGCTTACAAATAAATTTAAAAAGCCATTTTTCGCGGAATTACAATACGATACGTTTTTAGAAATACAAATAACTATACACACAAAATGCTGCCGCCTCCAATTCCAAACCGAATCGTTCTGAGTTCTGACG